TGTTCTTCTTTGTTTACCTATATTTCTAAGAGCATAATGCCAAACACGACTACAGTATATAATAATTTCAATATCCTAAGTGGAAAGAAAAAAGATCACCTTTCTGTTTTGTACTATGGTCCCTTTCTTCCGATGGCTCATCTCGTTGATATTTAGGAAGGTATCCATAAAATATATATTTTATTATCGGTCCTGGGATGAAAAAATATAAAATTCAATTTCATTTGATGATCCTTTTCTGTCACCTAAATCAGGAGAATGACAATGAGCATGTTAAGATGAAAAAAAACTTATTTATCAACACTTACCTACACGTTAGTCCAAGGAGTTTTATCAAAAACCTATATTTGCCTAAATAATTTATGTATTCAATTTACAAAGCAAACTGTAACGTGTAAACAAAAGAAATAAAATGGCGACAAGTCAACGTGAACGTCAACGACCCGACAAGGAGAAAAGTGGTGTTCGAATAACAATTTATGGGTTGCAAAAAATTGTTTTTGTCTCCTTTCAACGCACACTTTAGAAAGAAAAAGAGCTGAACAGTTATACTGAAAGAATGTCAAGGTTTTATCTGTCACTCTTGTCAATAATTTATCGGTAAAGAAGATTCCTAGAAAATCGCTTGTAGTCAAGTTTTCAACCATTTCTAGTTCTCCCATAAGAAGTGTCATCCACCTGGAATATACCTAGCTAGAAAAAGAATGAACTCTGCCATACTGAAAAATGGTCCTACAGAAGTGGCGCCATCTATTGAGTAGGGCTTGTTTTAAATGGATAGAAGCGCGGGCTTTTTAAGTGAGCGTATTTAGTGAATTCTACTCTAAAATATATAATTAAATTTGATTATTAAATCTTATTTTTTACACAAATTCAACAATACTAATAACAAGTATCGTTGTGATGTGTAAAAAATAAGATTTAACAGTATAATTTATACAATTATTAAATAAAATTAAAGCCAAACATGTGTAAATATTATTTATTATTTAAAGATTTTAATTATAAATCAAATATTTAAACATCGTTTATTATAATAAAACAAGACCAACGTAATACGCCCAAAATTTTGTAAATGGAGTAAATATAAATAGGTAATTAAATGATAGCAAAAATAAATGACTTACATTATATTTTTAGGACCACAAACAAAATGAATTGTCTAATAAAAACACATATAACAAATTAGTTTGAAAAACGTTTTGATGTTTTGATAATTATTTTTGATAATATTATGATCATAGATAAAAGAAAATAATCTTCTATTATTATGATTGGCGCTATGACAACGACAATATTTTTTGAGAATTTGACAATAATATGACAATGGCCGTTGGAAACTATGGAAACTACAAAAAAAATCTGATTGAACGCCATCTGGCAATAACTAGTAGCAATTTTTTAACCTAAAAATTAATTGCACTACCACCTAGCGCCCGAGGCTGGAACTATTTTATTTGAAATTTCCGTGGAAACGGTGGAACCGCTTTTGCTATTTCACTTTCCGGCCCCTGCCTGTTCAGAATGAAGCTTTACGATTATTACCATGATTATTACTATTACCATGGTTACGGCACTGAAAGGGACGCAAATACAGAAAAAATAGTAGCTCTCAACGTTTTTTAAGCGTAGTTTACACGGGCAAGTAAATTATTGCAAGTATATGTCTGAGAGCACTTCTACCAAACTTGCATAATGTAAACAGTATCCGAAAGCATTCTCCCAGCAAGTCACAAAACTGGCAGGGAAGTGGTTGCGGCGAAAGGTGCTTGCAAGTGTAAACAGGTTGGGATAGTGCTCTGGCAAGTTAAAATTTATTTCCGTCTTGTTGAAAGTTTTTGGTGCAAGTGATTTTCGAAGGCGTGTTAAATAACGATATTAAAATCAAATTCTGTAAACTTTGTTAAAATGGAGTGAAAAATATGGTAGAAAGAAGATACCATCGCTTTGATTAATATATTTGAAGGATTTCCGGAATTGTGGCATATCCAATTTTGATATTTTATTGATGATATCCAATTTCGAAATTAGTTGTAGTAAAAAGTTAAAATCGACTTCTGACATTCGCAGAAAATTGATTAAATGCTTTGGGTCTTCATTTCTTAATTCTTTTAATAACATCGCGTAAGCTCCAAGACTAGGCCTTCTGGCAATCCATTCTTTAACCCATACTCTTTTTCTAGATTTTCTTGACTGTTTGCGTAAAATTGCAACAAGAAGAGCAGTGGCTGCAGCTCTCTTTTTACGGCGCGACATTTTTCTACAGAACCAATATACTGGTGCAATATACACCATACCGTGTATACATGCATGCAATTGCAAATTGCAAAAAATTGCTTTAAAATTTGCTTAAATGTAAACACTATCGCAAGTTACTCTAGCAAGTTGAATAACTTGGATATTTTGGACTTATTTGAAAAAGGGTAAAGAGAAAATATGTTTCTTTTATCGAGATCTACCAGACCTGAAAATATTTGCGTTTATTTAAGACTTATCCTGTATAGTGTATATTTAAATGTTGATTTTTAAGAATATAATATGAAATTTAATAGAATTAAAAAGCAGAATGGTGAAACCATGAACCATAACGGATATTCAATAACCTTGATAATAATATATGTAAAATGAGATTGTAACTCATTTTAGTGAAATTCAAAATAATATAGGTCAAGATAAAAATGCATATAATACTTATTGGTTTACCTTATTTAATTTAAGTAAAAACTATAATGAATGGTATATTAAATTAGATTGTAATGCATAATAGCAACAACTAAACTAAACCATACAGCACGAGCTAAGATAAATTAGAAAATGTGTACCTATATTAAAAAAATAATTATAAATCTAATAAACCTTGGTTATAATTTATGCAAAATTATGACAAAACGATAGTATTAATTTAATATAGCTCAAAATAGAAATTAATTTAATATTGGTTTATGTTACTTTAAAAAACATGTATTTTGCCACTAAAAGAACATTGTTCAAAACACAAAATACACTTGTTAGATCCATTTTGATGAACACAAAAAATTAAAATATGAGATTTTATATCGATGGAATATCTAGTACACTTTTTCATGGACACAGGATACAGAGTAGAGTTTAAAAATGCAAAAATTATAATGGAAGAACCGAAAATCTCTAAACATAAAAAATACTTTTCTTATAATGAAATACAATTAAATGTATTGTATTGCTCACGCATCTGTCACATCTACAAACAACAGTATTTTTTTTTTCGTTTAGAGAGGGTTATTTAATTTTTTTAGTATATTTAGACCCCAGAAACACGACTATGAGTTTTTTTCGCGATTTTTTTTTAAAAATTTGGAATTTTTTAATTTTTTATTTAAAAATCATAATATGGCAACATAGATAGTAGATTAAATTTACAAGAAAGAAATTAAAAACCCAGAAAAGATCCAGTGGTTCTCAAAATTTAAGCAAAAAAAGTTTTTTGGTAATTTTCAAAGTAAAATATCTAGCGGTTATTTTGGACTTATTTGAAAAACGGCAAAGAGAAAATATGTTTCTTTTATTTTATCGAGATCTACCAGCCCAGAAAATATTTGCACTTATTTAAGACTCGCCCTGTATATTATTTAATCTTATTATGTTATTTAATTTAATATTAATGAAGGTTAGTGTAAAAAATAGATTATATTGAATATGTAGAAAAACTACAAATTAAAAGATATTTATGTGTATATTTTTATGATATTAAAAAAATAATTTAAGAATAATATATACTTAATATAATACCTCTGTATAAAAACACCATAATAATATCATGTAAAATGTCATTTTAACTAATCTTTGCTAAATTAATAATAAAAAAATAGGCGACATGTGTTAATATAAAAAAATGTGTCATAATTTTTTTTGTGCAGTACCTAATAACAATAATTGTAGGTATATTATAAAAATTAACTATAATAAAACATAAATAAAAAAAAAAGATTCTTACTAAATAAATATAAAAAATAAACAAGAAGATATAGGCCAAGATAAAATGCATTAAAAATGGTTAGTAATAGATAAAATAAGATTTAAATTGTTAAGAATTTGTAAAAAAATTATAGTAAAATCAAACTAAACATACATTATGTCAACATACAAGCACAAACTAAAAACATTTTATATGACAAAATGTATACAGGGTGTGTCAAAAATAAGTGCAAATATTTTCAGAGCTGGCAGATCTCGATAAAACAAACATATTTTCTCTTAGCCGTTTTCAAAATAAGTCCAAAATAACCGAGATATTTTACTTTGAAAATTTACAAAAAAAAAATTTTTTGCTTAAATTTTGAGAACCACTGGATCTTTTTTGGCTTTTCTTTCTTTTAAATTAAATTAAATCTTCTAATTAAATGAAATAAATTTCCAAAAAATTTTTCAAAAAATTCCAAATTTTCAAAAAAAATTGTTTGCGAAAAAACCTCATATTCGTGATTCCGGGGTCGAAATATACTACCCCTACAAATATTTGCACTTATTTAAGACTCACTCTGTATATTAGATAAAATAGAAATAGAATATCTTATATTTAAAAAAAAATACACATGTATTGGGGTAAAAATAAAGATCGGTAAAAGTAAAATAATTAAGATAAAAATACATAGAGTTAACCGTTTACCTTATTTACTTAAAAAAAAAGCTGAAAATTATTTTTTTCTTTAATAACAATAATACCGTATGATCGAATAAAAACGGCGTAAGCGATGGCAATGAAATGAAGATCGCTGTCATTTTATATGAAAAATTATATTGGAAATGTCATCGAACGTCATTTCCAAGCCAACTGGATGCCATTTTTTTTCGATCATACGGTATAAAATATGACTATAAATTATATATAGAATATAGAAACTACAAAATAAGGTAAATAATATGGAAAAAATAATGAATTTAACTATTTTCATTTAAAAACAAGAAATACCCGTGTATCTATTATTATTGTAAATATTGTTACTTCATACTTTGTTACGTACCTAAATAACCCATCATGGTATCCAAATCGCACGCACCGTCCATTTCGAACAAGTTTATTTGTACTTTTCAGTCAGAAAAAGAGAATAAAATACGGTTATTTACGGTTGAATATCGGCCATGCCCGTAATACGGTAAAAGAATGCAAATTTGCGGTGGGAATACCGATGCGAGTAAACGAGCGGACTTAAGTACACTAAAACGCGTCTTTCGCTATTCTCGCGCTTAACTTTTCGATCGTGCGCCGTTAAGGTTACTCAGATAAAATTACTTTGGGAGAAAAAGTCTTTACAAACACCGAGAATTTGTATTTTTTATCTAATACCGATCGTACTTACAAATCTACAAACAAGATTAAGTGAATGTAATACATAATAGTTCGGTTTGTGGAGATTGATTGTTATACCGGGTGCGTTTTAAATGTGGCTCACTTCTATAACTTTTTTATTTTTTCAGATAAAAAAACGGGATTTGGTATAACAATTTTTTCCAAATATGCTAATGAGCCACCGCCGTTCCATTCGAAAAAAATTGATATGATTAAAAATACGATTTAGGCTTCTTTTAACCGGCCAGGACAATACACGAAAAACATTAGACGATCAAATCTATTTTTCCAAGGCTCCTTGATTAAAACCTAGTGTTTTTAACACAGCCCTTGGCACTCTAGATTGACATTTAAAATACGATTTTTTAAGCGAGAATGTCAAAAGTTGACAAATGATACGTTATCCTATTCAAAATATCATTTTCTATCGAATAAAGTAAAAAAATACCGAGGGTGCTATTTAAAAATCAAAAGTTGTAGTCACATCCGGTGAAACAGGAAGTGATCCAAAAAAAAAATGAATAAGTCAATCAATCCTAATTTATGTCCTATGCTAACATACCAAATCTCGTTTTTTATCTGAAAAAATAAAAAGTTATAGCGATGAGCTACTTTTGAGATGCACCTGGTACCTGTCGTATTTACACAGCTCGTTTTTTTTTAGAATTTACTAGATACAGTTTTTTATATTTTAGGACAAGGATATTTTATGTTGTACAGGGTGGGTCAAATTCGACGCTTTTAAATGGAAACACCCTTTTCCATAGGAGATAGACAAAAACTAATATCGGTGTCTGGAGCTCAATTTTTGTCAAAAATATGATGGTGAAAACCGCATATCGGTATCTGTTACCGTTTCGGAGTTACGGGGTGTTTTTCAAAAATATGCGTTTTTAACAAATCGCTGTAACTTTTTGCTATGGAAAATTTTGTATTTTATGAAAACATTTACAAAGCACCTTTTTACGTAAAATTTAATGGTTTAAGTATAATTTTTTTAAATTAATAATTTAAGAATTATCAACAGAAAATTTGATTTTTTTATATGGGATACCCTCTCTATTTTTAATTTATTGAAAATAATTTAAAATTACCTTTCCAAAAATATAACACACTTGATATTTTGCTCGATTCCTCTTCGAGATATAGAGTATATAAAAATTCGCCCGCTTTAAATAAGTAGGCTTTGAACGGCACCGGCTGTCATGCAAAAAAATTCTAGCTGTGAGCATCAATTAAAACGAAAATAACATTTGTTATGAGTGATGCAGAGTTTTATAACAATTTAAAATATATTTAACCAACATCAACACATTTAAACTATATCTAATAACAATAAAAATAAATAGCAAACCAAGACATGAGCTTTTGCTACAGGTGTTCGACACATCGACCGTCTTCTGTTATGGACAGACGGGGCAGTTTTTGAACATTTCTCGCGGAATTCATTAACTCAGTGGGGATGAAAGATACCCTCTCATAACTGCTAAGTATTTCTAATTCTTGTCTAGATTATACGGAAGAATAAGGAACCTTTATTCTTCCGCAAATATATCCATTGGATCAGATCCATGGGCACTAAGTCAAGCGGCCTCGACGACCAACGGCTGGGATCTTGGTTAGCTATTCAATTATTCTTGAAATTGGCTGCAAAAATTTGCTGATAACCTCTGCGTTCAGAGGCGGTGCGTCGTCTTGCTGGAAAAATATGTTTTCGAGTTCCATTAAGGGCATATCATCAATAAGAGGTCCAAAGCCTACTAGTTAAAAGTGGCGAACTTTTAAAAATTCTGTATTTCGAAGGGGATTATAACAAAATATCAAGTGTACTATATTTTTGGAAAGGTAATTTTAAATTCTTTTCAGTTAATTAAAAATATAGAGGGTGTCCCAAATAAAAAATCAAATTTTCTGTTGATAACTCTTAAATTATTAATTTTAAAAAAAATTATACTTAAACCATTAAATTCTACGTAAAAAGATGCTTTGGAAATGTTTTCATAGAAATACAAAATATTCCATAGCAAAAAAGTTATAGCGATTTGTTAAAAATCCACATTTTTGAAAAACACCCCGTAACTCTGAAACGGTAACATATATTGATGTGCAGTTTTCACCATCATGTTTTTAATGAAAATTGAGCTCCAGACACTGATATTAGTTTTCGTCTATCTCCTATAGAAAAGGATGTTTCCATTTAAAAGCGTCGAATTTGACCCACCCTGTACAGTTGTACTATCTTTTTAAAATAGTTTTTATTTCCGATTTAACCATGTTGCGTGGCTACAAACTTGATTATCAACTTTAAATTGAACCACCGTATACAGGGTGTTTTAAAAAACATATGCTATCTCTCGTGGGGAGATTCCTCACTTGAAAATAAGATTTATTTTTTATATCAACATAAGTCCGATTTGGTTTTGTTTCGTAGCTACAATAGGTTAAAGATTTTATTTACTTTTTTTCAATTTATTCTAATTTTCTTCCAAGTGCTTTTAGTGATTCGAATGAATTTTTGAGGGTAAAAGTTACTATAAGTGCTACACATTTTAATGCTAAAAAAGTGTCGACAGATTTATCAGAGACGTGCATATGGATTACCCTGAATATTTTTCGAAAAAACAAGACATGTACGCCACTGATTTTTTTTTCTTTCGATAGCAAAATTATATAGGCCCTTTAATGCCAATTAAAAGTTGTATCTTGATATTTTGTCGATTTCAGTTGCCTTGATGAGATAAATGCAATTTTATTAATTTGCTTTGATCCAAGTCTAATGGAAACCTTTAAAAACTTTTAATATCATTAACTTGCGAGAGTTATTTTTATTGATTCCTCATCAACAAATAAATATAAATATATAAAAGTTCCAAGAGAAAAAAAGTCAGTAGCGTACATGTTTTTTTTAGAAAAATATTCCAGTAATAACCCATATGCACGTCCCGGCTGAAAATGTCGACACTTTTTTAGCATTAAAATATGTCGCATTACAGTCACTTTTATCCCCAAAATTTGATTAAAATCGCTAAAAGAACTTGGAAGAAAATTATATTAAATTATAATATATTATAAATAAAAAATTAAAACGTGAATAAGAATCTCCCCTCGAGTGATTGCACATGTTTTTTGAAGCACCGTGTAAACCGTATGATCACCTTTTCTACATATCCGATAGCCAGATAATTACTATAGCATTTCTATATATCATAATTCATATGTCACATATTATCGGCTTCATAAACATTGCAAAATAAAATAGATCTAATTTTGCAGGACCAATAACAAACTGATTTAAAGTAATGCTACAAACCAAAGAAACGCGGACTTTTAAATTACAGTGACAGTATTTTTAAATTATGTTTTAGCTCACCTATCAATAAAGAGCTAAACTTAATTTTATGGGCGGGATGCTGTAGAAAGTATTTTATAATTTCGATGGAGGAAGCAACAGAGAATCGGAATTTACGCAATCTTCATATGTGAACCTGACGGTATTTGCCATGGACATCAACAAATAATATATAAGCCTGCGGGACTTCAGCTGTCAATTTTGGAAAATGGTGGTGTTCTAAAGCTAATTTCTTTAAAAATATATTTTCTGTATAATTTTTTTCGTGAATTTTTCCCATATTTTAATATATAATTATTGTTATTCGGAGCGAAGTCAAATCCAACAAATCAAAGATCATTAAATCGATTCAGTCGTTATTAATTATTATAATAAAAAAAATGTAAAAATGTAAATTAATTAATTAATATTACATATTTTCTCTTTGCCGTTTTTCAAAAAGTCCAAAAAAACTGAATTTTAAAAACGATTAAAGTTTATTTTTAAAAAAAAATTGACAGCAACCGGATTTTTTTCTGTATTTGCATCCTTTTTAGTGCCGTAACCATAGAGTAAAGCCGTAACCATAGTAATATCAGAGATTATAAGAAATTATACCGTGGGAAGATTTGCGGTGAACAGGCAGTTCTAAAAAATTTCTAAAATATACAGGAAAATTTAAAAGAAAATGCACGATTTTCAACATACCAACAAACTTCATAGACGTGTTCCTGGGGTCAAAATATACCACCCCTAAAAATATTTGCACTTATTTAAGATTTACCCTGTAGATAAATGGTGTAATTAACCCCACTTTATTTTATTTATATAGATTACGCTTTTTACCAAAAATATCATACGCTGTCAAAGAAAACAGTTATTGGCGGTGGACATTTTTTTTGGAAATTTCTTTGAAATTTCTTTGGAACATTTTTAAATTGTTAGTTAAAAAACATAATGTCTTGATAATATGACAACATAGGGGGTAGTTTAAAATTAAAGAGAGTAAAAAAAAACAGAAAAACAAGGGTTTTCAAAATTTAAGCAAAAATTATTTTTCCTTAAATATTCAAAGTAAATAAATTCGACATGGTCAAGATCTACCAGCCCTGAAAATATTTGCACTTATTTAAGACTCATCCTATACAGGGTGAGTCTTAAATAAGCGCAAATATTTTAAAGGCAGTATATTTCAAGCCCAGAAACACGATTATGAGGTTTTTTGCGCGAAAAAAAATGATTTTTTTTTCGCATTTTTTTGGAAATTCTTTTAGTTTTTATTTAAAAAACATACTTTTTTGTTGGTAATATGTCAACATAAGTAGTAGCGTGGCTAACGTCATATTCAAGGCCTGACTTTTGACAGTTCTGCCGAAGTGGTCGAGAATTAGTAGTCGTAAACAAACCTATAGTTTTCATTAGTTTCGCAACGAATCTGTGTTTTTTACGCGTTTCTATGCTCATAAAATTATACTAAATAATTTTGAGTGTACTCTGAGTGAATAGTGAACTATCTAGATCCGATTCATAACATCGTACCCGCGAAAAAAAAACATACTTTCGGTAAAAATTATAGTAACATTGGCGATGCCGGCTGTGTGTCCGGACTAGAA